AAACTCAACTCGATCGAGCTGTGGATCGAGTTGACATGGAGGAGCCTCTGTTTGAGAACCCTGGATTTGAGTACGATCCAACGCCTTACCAAGAGTACCCTCGGAGCTGATGGAACCCCTATGGACAGTACAAGCTAGTCATGCTCCACCAAGGCCAAGGGAGCCACACACACTTCGATGAAGAAGAGGAAGAAGAGGAGCAGCAAGCTCGACCGAGCGGCACGGACCCGGCCGAGTGGAGCGTCCCTGACGGCCGTCTGCCCTCTCCAGACCACGACCTTGCCTCCCAGATCTTTGGGGGGCACTGAGGTATCCAAACATCTTAACCCTTGTAAATACCATTTCATATTTTCTTGATTTTTTTTTTCCTTGGTTTTGCCCTCTTGAAACTTTCACTAAATTTCTCTTACACAAGGCACTGTGTGATTTAAGTTTGGGGGAGGGTTCAAGAGATGATTTAACCTTGTTTTCTTTGTTCTTAGTTTTTCATTCTCTTTTATGCATAGAAAAACCAAAAAAATCATAAAATTTTCAAAAAATCCAAAAATATTTTCATCTTTTTGCATTCATATTTCTTAGTATTGTTTAGGATTGCATCTTTCACTTGCATTGTTGATTTGATTTTGAAAACTTGTTCATCATTTGCGATTTCTTGAGTGCCCTGTTTTTAGATTCTCTTGTGCATTAGGGTGAGATTGATTGAGCAGCAAGAACCATGTTTATCTTGATCATATCACTGCATGCACATCTCATTCAACCATTGCTGTGATTTGATGCATTTCCCTATCTATATGAACCATAACTTGATCTTTAATTACCAATGCTTGCATTTGATTTCAACTCATGGCTACCACATACATATATGGACATTCTTTACCTATTTTCATATCCCTCTTGCTTGTCCAGATAGCTGATCTCCATCTTTGAGACAGTTACCACACCTTAAACCTAAGCCTTTTCATTTCAAACCCCATTTTACCTCTTGTGCGATTGTGAGAACCTTTCTTGGCTTTGCTTAGCATAAGGTGTTGTGTTTAAACCGGCAGGGGCAGTAGTTCTAGTTGTCTAGTTCTCTTGGGATTGTTTCAGGATCATTTCCCTCTCCCTTTCATTGATCAGATGTTAGAAAGATTGGCAAACCACCCTTTTTATTGTTTTCTTGATGGTTACAGTGGTTTCTTCCAAATCCCGATCCATCCTAATGATCAGGAGAAGACCACTTTCACATGCCCTTATGGTACCTTTGCTTATCGAAGGATGCCATTTGGGCTTGTGCAATGCCCAGCAACTTTCCAGAGATGCATGACTTCCATTTTTTCAGATCTGATAGAGGAGATGGTAGAAGTCTTCATGGACGATTTCTCAGTCTATGGAGCATCCTTCTCCTCATGTTTGTCTAACTTGTGCAGGGTGTTGCAGAGGTGTGAGGAGACCAATCTAGTACTCAACTGGGAGAAGTGCCACTTCATGGTTCGAGAGGGGATTGTGCTTGGACACAAGATTTCGAGAAAGGGATCGAGCTTGATCGAGCTAAGGTGGATGTCATGTTGCAGCTCCCTGTTCCCAAGACTGTGAAGGATATAAGGAGTTTTCTGGGTCATGCAGGGTTCTACAGAAGATTCATCAAGGATTTCTCAAAGATAGCAAGACCCTTGACAAGACTTCTGTGCAAGGAGACAGATTTTGAGTTTGATGAAGAATGCCACAAGTCTTGGACCTTGCTGAAGGATGCTCTGGTATCTGCGCCAATAGTTCAAGCTCCAAACTGGGATCACCCATTTGAGATTATGTGTGATGCATCTGACTATGCAGTAGGAGCAGTGCTTGGCCAAAAGATAGACAAGAAACTCAATGTCATCTACTATGCAAGCAAGACTATGGATGATGCTCAGTGCAAGTATGCAACCACAGAGAAGGAACTCCTTGCCATAGTCTTTGCCTTTGAGAAATTTCGAAGCTATATAGTTGGATCCAAGGTGATTGTGCACACTGACCATGCTGCCCTTAGGCACATCTTTCGCTAAGAAAGATACAAAGCCAAGACTTCTCAGATGGATCCTTTTGCTTCAAGAGTTTGATATAGAAGTTGTGGACAAAAAGGGAGTAGAAAATGGAGTTGCTGATCATCTCTCTAGGATGCGAGTTGAAGACATGATCCCCATCAATGATTCTATGCCTGAAGAACAGCTTATGGCAATCATGATCTTGAAAGGAGAGTTTTGATGAGAAAGTCAGGCTGGAAGAAGTTAAGGCTCTGCGTGATGAGAATTTGCCATGGTATGCTGATATAGTGAACTTCATGGTGTCCGGAGAAGTCCCTAGTAGCTTTGATGCTTACAAGAGGAAGAAATTCTTCAAGGATGCTAGGCATTACTATTGGGATGAGCCTTACTTGTACAAAGAGGACCAGACAGCATTTACAGGAGATGCATAGCTGAAGAGGATGTACAAGGAGTTCTAGAGCATTGCCATGGGTCAGCTTATGGAGGTCACTTTGCTACATTCAAAACAGCAACCAAGGTTCTGCAATCTGGGTTGTGGTGGCCTACCTTGTTTAAAGATGCAGCAAGCTACATCGCAAAGTGTGATCCATGCCAAAGGAAGGGAATATCACCAAGAGAGATGAAATGCCACTAAACCCGATTCTTGGAAGTTGAGATCTTTGATGTATGGGGAATAGACTTCATGGGACCTTTCAAGCCTTCCTCAAACGGGCACAACTACATTCTAGTTGTTGTGGACTATGTGTCCAAATGGATTGAAGCCATCCCCTGCCCACCTGCGATGCTAAGGTTGTTATCAAATTGTTCAGAACGATCATCTTTCCAAGATATGGCATCCCAAGGGTTGTTATCTCTGATGGAGGTTCCCATTTCATCAATAAAGTGTTTGAGAAGTTGATGAAGAGTTATGGAGTTAAGCACAAGGTCGCTACACCTTACCATCCTCAAACCAGTGGGCAAGTTGAGGTCTCCAATAGACAGATAAAGGCCATTCTTGAGAAGACAGTGAGTTTTACTAGGAAAGGATTGGTCAACAAGACTTGATGAAGCTCTTTGGGCCTATAGAACAGCTTACAAAACCCCCATTGGAAGGTCCCCTTTCAACTTACTGTATGGAAAGGATTGTCACTTACCTGTAGAGGTAGAGTACAAGGCACTATGGGCAGTGAAGATGCTGAACTTTGATATAAAGGCTGCACAAGAGAGAAGACTAATGAACTTGTTTGAGTTGGAGGAAATCAGAATGAATGCCTATGAGAACTCCATGATCTATAAGATGAGAACAAAGGCAGCCATGACAAACTGATTCGCCTTAAAGACTTCAAGGTTGGGGACAGTGTGCTCTTGTATAACTCCAAGCTAAGGTTGTTTCCCGGGAAGCTAAGGTCAAAGTGGGCGGGACCATTCAAGATTCACGAAGTTTTGCCCTATGGATCCCTCACTCTACTCAATCAAGAGGGGAAGGAATTCACAGTGAATGGACATAGATGCAAGCCATATCTAGGAATGACCCCCACAGAGGAGATCATCACTCCTCTAGAAGATCCAACCCCGGCCTAAAAGGGGTAAGGTCAAGCTAAGAGACCTAAAACAAGCTCACTTGGGAGGAATTCCCATGTCTATCTTATATATTTATTTATCCTTTTATTTTTATGATTTTCTTGGCTAAGTCTTACAGGAGCAGGTTTTAGGAAGAAGAGCGGCTAACTCGAGGCACAACTCGATCGAGCCAAGAGCAAGCTCGATCGAGTGAGCCACAAGAGGCAACCCCAGTTGCGTGGAGTGCTCCTGATGGCCGTCTCCCATCTCCAGACCACGACCTAGTCTCCCAGTTCTTTGGGGGACACTGAGGTATCCAAACACCAACCCTTGTATATACCATTTCATATTTTCTTGTCTTTGTTCTTGTTTTTCTTGGTTTTGCCCTCTTGAATCTTTCACTAAATTTTTCTCACACAAGGGACTGTGTGATTTAAGTTTGGGGGAGGGTTCAAGAGATGATTTAACCTTGTTTTCTTTGTTCTTAGTTTTTCATTTATCTTTTGCATAGAAAAACCAAAAAAATCATAAAATTTTCAAAAAATCCAAAAATATTTTCATCTTTTTGCATTCATATTTGTTAGACTTGTTTAGGATTGCATTTTTCACTTGCATTGTTGATTTGACTTTGAAAACTTGTCCATCTTTTGCGATTTCTTGAGTGCCCTGTTTTTAGATTCTTTTGTGCATTAGGGTGAGATTGATTGAGCAGCAAGAACCATGTTTATCTTGATCATATCGCTGCATGCACATCTCATTCAACCATTGCTGTGATTTGATGCATTTCCCTATTTATGAACCATAACTTGATCTTTAATTACCAATGCTTGCATTTGATTTCAACTCATGGCTACCACATACATATCTGGACATTCTTTACCTTTTCATATCCCTTTTGCTTGTCCAGATAGCTGATCTCTATCTTTGAGACAGTTACCACACCTTAAACCTAAGCCTTTTCATTTCAAACCCCATATTATCTCTTGTGCGAATGTGAGAACCTTTCTTGGCTTTGCTTAGCATAAGGTGTTGTGTTTAAACCGGCAGGGGCAGTAGTTCTAGTTGTCTAGTTCTCTTGGGATTGTTTTCAGGCTAAGTTTGGGGGTGCCAACTCGAGCTCGATCGAGTTGGGTGTAAAAACCAGAAAAGTGGTAAAAGTTGGGAAAAACCCAAAGGAAAAAGAGTTTAGTTAAGTCCAGGGAGTTGGCAGTGTTAAAAAGGGTCTAGTAAAGGTTTGGGAAGTTAAAAAAGGAAGTAAAAAGGGTTCTAAGTAGAATGAAAAGAAGGCAAAGCCTCAAGTGTCAAAAAGGAAAGAAAAGTTCCCTAAGTGTTTAGAAAATCCCAAACCGCTAGATGTTACCTCAAGAAGCCTCTCCCTAGGAAGTTCTTAAAAGAAAAGTGAGCAAAGCTCCTCAGTTTCAAAGGCGAAATGCCAAAAAGGGTAGTTAGGATTTTGTTCTAAAAAGCTCTAAGTGTTGAACTCGATCGAGTTAGGATTAGGCGGCTCGAGCTGCTGTTCTTGCATCATCTTTGGTTCTAACACTTAGCCTTCTGCCAAAGCAAAGCCACTTTCTTGAGAGATCCCTGTTACTAAACCACCATACAAAAGAGACCCTCTTTGTCTCTTAACCCATAAACCCTTGAAACCAAATGAGTTGATTGATCTTGCATGTTTTTGGTTCACTGTTTTTGCTTAATGAATGTTAAAGGGATTTGCTGATTTGAATGCATTGTTTGAGTGACTGTGAAGTGGGATTGATGTTGATAAGCATGGTTAAATCTTAATGAATATCTCTCACCTTGTTGCATTCTAGAATCTCTAAGTTGGACATTTAGCAAATCGCTTTTGAGGACATGTTTTTAAGTGTTGAATCAACTGTTTTCAAACCTCATCTCTTTCTTGTTCTATTTGTTTGCTTGAGGGCAAGCAAAGGTTCAAGTTTGGGGGTGTTGATGTACTTGCATTTTACATAGTTTTAGCACATCTTTTATGCATCTTTTGCATAGTTTTAGCATCCATTTGCATCATATCTTGTTCCTTTTCTCTTCTTATGCATTCATGTAGTTTTAGGTTGCATTTGCATACATATGCATGTTTGGTCCTTTGAAATAGGTCTTTTGGAGCATTCTGGAGCATATGGGACATGAGGAGCATGGAGGGACTTGGCACATGGACGCAGCTCAACTGGATACGCAAAGGAAGAAGGGAGAAGCCATCTTGAAGACCAGCTCGACCGTCTACTCGACCAACCGGTCGAGTTCCTCAACTCGACCGGCCAAGCTTCAACTCGATCGAGCTGAGAAGTCAAAGTCAAACCCGAAAAATGTTGCTTCCCCCTTGACTTTCCTTTGACCCTAAACCTAATCCTCTTTGTATTTAAAGGCTCTAAAAGCCACGAAAAAACCACCAAGCTTTAGATTACTTTTGTTTTAGTTTCTTTTAATTTATTGTCTTTTACTTTTTAGAGCTCTAATCCCATCTTTGTGTTCTTGAAGCTCTTGCTTCTTGAATCCTAGATCCTGGATAATCTCTTTGTATTTGCACTTGCTTATTTCAATAAAAGTTGTTTAATTTCATCTCCTCTTTCTTATGATGTCTCTTTTATTGCATTTGCTTGTGTTTACATTCATGTGTAGTGAGTAGTTACCCATTAGGGTTTGAGATGGGATAGATTAGAGGTTTCATATGCTTAATCCTTCTTAGCTTATGGTCTTAATCTAGATTCTCTCTCTTTTGGATAGATCTTAAGGCTACATGACCACTACCCCTGGCTTGTAAGTCCTTAGGCGACTCCCCACACGGAAGTGATGGCATTCGCTGGAAAAGATCCACTAAGAGCTCCAATATCTCTTGCTCTAGAAATAGAGGTCTAAGGGGTTGGATGGATTAGTTTGGGCAATGATCCTATGGCCTCCAAGGTTTGATTCTCACTGGCTAACCCCCTGTTTCTGAGATCATTCCTTGGTTGATAGCCTCACCTTGGGAAAGGGTTGGCTAGGCATTGAGAAGCCCAATATCAAGAGAAGCCTTGATACAAGGAGTTTTAAGAGCTAGATTGATTAAGTGTAGATTCCTTCTGATTGCAAAACCCTGTCTTGAACCCTAATTCTCTTTAGCTTGTTAAAGTCGTCACCTTTAGCTTTTTCTCAACTCGACCCTAAACTCGATCGAGCTGGTACTCTGTTCCACTCGACTCGAGTCCTTGGTCGAGCTGTTGCTTCTACTGCTTTCTTTTTTTTGCACTGCATTTCATTTTTAGGTTGTTAGTGTTACTTCAAATATATTACTGCTTGCTTGACTTTCTTGTTGTTTCATATTCTCATAGAGTGACAAGTTTCCCATTTTGGATTGATAACCTCTTTACTACATGACTATGATGGTTAAGAGGAATTGATTGATTGTGTTTGCACCATTTCATCTTTATTACCACTGTTTGCATTCCACCTCATCTCATTTCATTCATATCATTCACATCCACACAAAATCCTATCATCAGAGGTGTATGAAGATCAAGTTCAGTTGAGTGACCAAAGGACTAAACCTCAAGCCAAGAAGGAACCAACTAAACCAAGCAAGTCCCTGAACTATCTGGTCAAATCCAAATAGGTTAAGAGTTCCATGTCTTCTGATAAACCTTTTCTTTTATTTATCTTTAAAGGATCATTTAACCTTTTGATTGACAATGCACCGGAGATTCCGAGTGAGATGTCCAAACTTTTACAGGATTTCCAGGATGTGTTTCCAGATGGTCCTAAGGGATTGCCACCAGTTAGGGGCATTGAGCATCAAATAGACTTTGTCCCTGGATCCACTCTTCCAAACCGTCCAGCATACAGAACTAATCCTGTGGAAACCAAAGAACTCCAGCGCCAAATTGATGAGCTTATGGATAAGGGTCACATCAGGGAAAGCATGAGTCCTTGTGCTGTTCATGTTCTTCTTGTGCCCAAGAAAGATGGAAGTTGGCGCATGTGTGTGGACTGCAGAGCCATCAACAATATCACTGTAAAGTATCGACATCCTATCCCTAAACTTGATAATATGCTTGATGAGTTGCATGGTTCTAGCATTTTCTCTAAAATTGATTTAAAAAGTGGTTATCATCAGATTAGGATAAAAGAAGGTGATGAATGGAAAACTGCATTTAAAACTAACCATGATCATCCATCTTCTTGCCACAACGCCCAAGTCCATTCCATCTTGTTTTCATTCCATCCTTCATCATTTCATCATCCAATCTTGCTTCAAAGTGCCGATCTATAATCAGGGGTCTATCAACTTGATATCCATCCATCCAGCTGGAGTTGACCTCCTCTTGTCTAATTGGACCCCAGCTGCACATAGGATTGGTGTAATGACCTCTCCACCACTAAGCTTTCTTCCTTGTTGAAACCGAGTGCTATAGGCGGTTATCTTCTAGGAGAGTAGCTGCTCAAGGAGGGGCATGAGATTCTCTGCGTGGATCCTATCTCCTCTGATCTTCTTCCCATCCTTTGTGCGTGAGATGATGGGCTTAATCCCCATGTCAAGGATTTTTACTTCTCCCTCATTGATTGTACCAGTGGCCTTCCTTGCAAAGAAGGTGTTGGCAAGGGCCTTGTGTACATATCTTAGCACAGGGCTCCTTATCTGAGCAGCCTTGGATCTTGAAGAGGAGAATCCTGGCTCAGCAATTGTAGCCCACACTCTTTGGAGCACATTCTCCTTGATATCCCAATGGGTTCCTTCTCCATAAGCAAAACCAAAGAGGATCTTCAGCTGCCTGAAGGTGATCACCTTCCTTTCTCCTCTTGCCAAGAATGTTATCCATCCCCAGGTCCAACTCAGCTCGATCGAGCTCACCATACTTGTGAAACCTCATCGACGCCAAAAAGTCACAAGTGAGCTCCTTGTATGACTCCATGCGATGAGAGAAGAATTTTCCCAAGCGCATGTTCTTGAGGACTAACTCCACATCCTCAAAGATCCCAAGAGCCCTCATTGTGTCATCATGTGGGTACTTGGTCTCCACAAAGTCCATGGAGAAGAGAGCATTGTAGTGCTCTTGGTACATAGGGAGCTCATGCTCCTCTTCCTCTGACTCAGCCTCCTCCATGGGTACATTCTCATTGCTCTCATGCTCACTTCCTTCTATCTCTTGATTAACCTCTTCCCCTTCTTCATTTGAGGAGTCATCACTTTCTCCCCTTCCATGGTTCAACCCAATCTCGAATTCTCCTAATTCACTCTCACTGCTGATTGGGTCATTAGTCCTCTTGGTTCTTCTCCCTTCCTCATCTTCCTTGGTTAGTGTCTTTAGCATTCTCCTTGCTCCTCTTGTTATCTCCTCCTTTGTGAACGATGCCTTGCTTCCTTCACCTCTGAACATCTTAAACTTGTTTCTCCTTGAATTTGAGTCCCTGAAATTCACCAAAAACTCAAGGAATTAGAGTTGGAACCACTGGTTCGGTCAGCTCGACACCCAGCTCGATCGAGTCAAAAAACTCAAGTGACAAACTCGATTGAGCTAAGTGAAAACAGAGTAAACCGAACCTACATCAAACAATAAGAGCTGGAAAGGATGCTAAACAATCAAATCAACCAAGACATCAAGAACTTGGAACAATAAGCAATTCTAGTGAAAACCAAAGCATCTTAACCAATACCAAACTCAAATTCAAAGGATTCAAGCACATGCAACAAGTTTAAAGGCAAAACAGAGGTGAGGTGAGGCAAATTCACAAAACTATATAGGAGAAGGATATGAAGGCAATTACTCAATAACAATCCCACAAGGGACACATGCAACAAAAATCAAAGAGAAACAAGCAATAGAAAGGAATCGAGATGAAGGATTCAAGGGGTTTTAGGGTTCATACCTTGCTTGAATGATGATTGAACTACAGTAGCTAGAACCAAAGCAAACCAAGATAATTGAACAAAGAGGAATCGCAAAACTTAAGAGAGAAAGAGAATTTCGGATTTTTCTTGTGGTGATGAGAGAGATGGATGATTTTCAGAAAATTTAGAGTGTGGGAGAGAGGGAGAAGGGGGCGATCGAGTTATGGGGAAGAGGGAGTGTTTGAGATGTGTGGTTGGGATTAAAAGGTGAATTAAAGAGGGGACAAAAGGCAAGGGGTTTTCTGATCGATTTCAGGAAGTGGGGGACCAAAATTAACTTGTGGGACCACCCCTTGACCAAGGAAACGGTTGGAAAATTTGAATTTTGAAAACTTACCTTGGTCGAGTTGTGGAACTCGATCGAGTTGCCTTTGTTTCTAGCTCGATCGAGCTGTCGGTCGAGCTGGCTCCTTTATCACCTAAACTTAACTTATTGAAAGGTTAAAGACACAAAACTAAATAGAGAAAGCATTAAAAGTATGTACAAGGATAGTCATGGGACTTCCTCCCAAGTGAGCTTGTTTAAGGTCCCATAGCTTGACCTTTACCTTTAGGCATTGGTTGAGCTAGTCCCACCATCAAGGGTGATAGTGAGGACTTGAGACAGAAGCTCCTTTAGCTTGGTTGGATCCCTGGACTGCTCTGAAGTGACCAAGGCCTTGGCTCTAGAGAATGGTCTTGATCTCCCCTTGTACCTTATCTTGTACTCAATTTTCCATTTTCAAATTTGGTGGGGAACAAGGTCATAGTGAGCTGAGATGGCTTGGTTGAGGAAACCTGAGCTGATGGGTTCTTTCTTTTCTCTCCCACAAGTGCCTTTGAGGCTGCATCCTCCCCTTCTTTTTGAGCGCTTCCTAGTGGCTCATCAAACAAAGCTTGGAGGCTTTCCTCATCAAGGACACAAGGTGCTTTCCTCATCAAGGACGTGGTGTCTCAGAACGTGGTCTCTCAACTCTAGCCCTCTCAAGACGTGGCTTCTCAATCCTTGGTCCCTTATCAACTCTTTTTTCTTTCCAACCTTATCCTTCCCAACTCTTGGTTCTTTGTCAACCCTTTCCTTCACAACCTTTGTAACTGCAGAGGCTTGGAACTGAGAGTAGTGCTTTCAATTGTGGCACAAAAGTCTGAACCTCTAGGCTGCAAGCGATAGGACACCAAACTATTCACCTTGTGAAGAATCACTTCTTGTTTGTGAAAGTCTATTGAAGCGCCAACTGTGCTAAGGAATGGGGTTCCCAATAGCAGAGGTAGATCCTTCTCTTCTTCCATCTCCATGACAGTAAGATCAGTTTGGATGATGCATTCTCCAATTTTCAAGTGATAGTTCTTGAAACACCAAGAGGAGACTTTGAAGTGGCATCTCCAAAATGATTGAAGTAGTAGGGCGCTGCAATGCTCCAGCAATGCCAATCTTTGATCTTGCAACAGCCATTGTCAAGCTCAATATGCCCAAGTGTACAAGGGAGAGTGAATTTCCCTTGATCCTTCACCTTTGGTAAGAAAGTAGGTGAGGTAAGCAGGTTGATTTGGTGAGTAGACATCTCCAGCTCATAAACCTTTTCCTTGTGAGCCAGAACATCTTGAATCAACTTCATTTGCTCAAAGGCCTCACTCATGCTTTCCATAGAAGCAACTCAACTCCAATCTCACTTAGGTCTTTCCTGAACTTGTGAATCACTTCCTTATGGCTTTGACTGAGTAGGCGGTCGGATGATGTATCAACTGGCTGGTAAGGATCAAGCAAAATCGGCTTGAGGACTGATGAAGTCTGACTCGATCGAGCTAGAGTTCGAGTCGATCGAGCAGCCGATCGAGCTTGGTCTGTGAGCTCAACTGGTGAAGTGTGAAAGGCCACAGTAGGAGCCTCAGTAGCAACAATATCGTCATCTTGGGGTCCTTGGTAATTGTTTTGACCATACCCATGTTGTGGGGCTTGACTCGATCGAGCTGCTTGTTGTTGAGGATAGACTTGGTCCTGAGGGTTAGCAACATCAGTGTTGCGGTATGACATGGCAGGGTTGGACTTGTAATTATAGTATCCTTTGTTGTAACCTCCTTGCCCATTGCTCATGTAGCACACTCAGCAAATTGTGTATCCTCCCCTTCTTGGACTGGTTCCATCTCTTCAGCAGACACAAAGTTGACTTTCTTCATTGTGGACTGAGCTAGGATCAGCTTATCCAACTTCTCATTCAATGCCTTAACATCTTTTCTCAACTTTTCGTCTGACTCGATCGAGTGGTGGGTCGAGCTCCGGTTGGTGCGATCATACTCTTCTCCATAGCTTCCATTGAGTTAGCTATGTTCTCCACAAGCTGCCAGCCATCATCACATCCTGATTGAGGAAGTTCCCATTGCTGGCTGTGTCCAACATCCTCTATAAAGAGTAGAGAGTAGATTCATTGTTGAATCCATGGTGTGGGCACTGACTTGTGTAGCCTTTGAACCTCTCCCAAGCCTCTGCGAATGTCTCATTGTTTCGCTGGATGAAGCTGGATATCTCTCCTCTAAGCTTGGCTGTGCGACCGGTGGAGAAAAACTTAGCAAGAAAGGCCTTCTTGCATTCATCCCAAGTGGTGATTGTGCCATGGGGCAAGCTCTTCTCCCATTGGTGAGCTTTGTCAGCTAGAGACATAGGAAAGAGTCTCAGCTTGATGGCATCTTCAGAGACACCATTGATCTTTGTCAAATCACAAAGCCTATCAAACTCATCAAGGTGGTCAATGGGGTCTTCACTTGGCAATCCATGGAACATCTTGTTCTGACAAGGTTGATCATTCCCAGCTTGATCTCAAAGTTGTGGTTCTGCACTGGTGGTGGAACAATCCCTTGTCTCTGTTGGTGGCGGTTTGGAGCATCTCCTTAGACCAATCGGTCGAGTTTGCCTAGCTCGACCGAGTCCATTGCCCAAAGGGTTTCCATTCCCCTCTGGTACATCCATTGTATCAGTAACAAGCACCTCAGGTTCCTCTTGTACCCTCTCTGACCTCTGAACCCTCTTTCTACCCGTTGTAAGTCTAGCTCGACCAAGTCTTCTGTAGACCGACTCGATCGAGTTCGCATACACCTGCAAAAAGAGACAAAAACCCAGCAGTACAAAGAACAGGGGTGGTATAGCTTGATCGTCCAAGTGTTTGAAACTCAAATGCAACAAATATTCCCAAATCGGCAACGGCGCCAAATTGATGATAGGATTTGTGTGTGGGTGTGAAAGATATGAAATGAATGTGGTGGAATGCAACAGTGGTATATAAGATGAGGTGGTAAGATGCAAACACAAACACAATCAACAATTCCCTTAACCATCATAGTCATTATAGTATAAGGGTTATCAATCCAAAATGGTGAAACTTGTCACTCTATGAGAATATGAAAAACCAAGGAAGTCAAGCAAGCAGTAAATGATAGGTAACACTAACAACCTAAATGAAATGCAGTAAGTAAAGCAAGCAGCTCGACCAAGGACTCGAGTCGAGTGGGAACAGAGTACCGAGCTCGATCGAGTTTAGGGTCGAGTTGAAGTAAAAAGCGATAAAGGCAGCGACTTTAACAAGCTAATGCGAGAATTAGGGTCTAAGACAGGGTTTACAATCAGAGGAAGCTATACTTAATCAATCTTGCTCTCAAACAACTTGTATCAAGGTATCTCTTGATATTGAGCTTCTCAATGCCTAGCTAACCCTTTCCCAAGGTGAAAGCTATCAACCAAGACTTGATCTCAGAAACAGGGGGTTAGCCAGTGAGAATCAAGCCTTGGAGGCCATAGGATCATTGCTCAAACTAATCCATCCAACCCCTATGAACTCCATTTCGAGAGCAAGAGTTATTGGAGCTCTTAGTGGACCTTTTCCAACGATTTCCATCACTTCCATGTGGAGAATCGCCTATGGACATACAAGCCAGGGGTAGTGGTCATGTAGCCTTAAGTTTGTCCAAAAGAGAGAGATTTCTAGATTAAGAACATAAGCAAGAAGGATTAAGCATAAAATCCCTCTAATCTATCCCATCTCAAACCCTAATGGGTAACTACTCACTACACATGAATGTAAACACAAGCAAATGCAATGAAAGACATCATAATGAAAGAGGAGATGAAATAAACAACTTTTATTGAAATAAGCAAGTGCAAATACAAAAAGATTATCCAGATCTAGGATTCAAGAAGCAAGAGCTTCAAGAACACAAAGATGGGATTAGGTTCTAAAAAGTAAAAGACAATAAATTAAAAGAAAGCTAAAACAAAATAATCTAAAGCTTGGTGGTTTTTTCGTGGCTTAGCCTTTAAATACAAGAGGATTAGGTTTAGGGTCAAAGGAAAGTCAAGGGGGAAGCAACATTTTTCGGGTTTGACTGTTGACTTCTCAGCTCGATCGAGTTGAAGCTTGGCCGGTCGAGTTGAGGAACTCGACCGGTTGGTCGAGTGGTGGTCGAGCTGGTCTTCAAGATGGCTTCCTCCTTCTTCCTTTGCGTATCCAGTTGAGCTGCGTCCATGCACCAAGTCCTCCATGCTCCTCACGTCCCATATGCTCCAAATGCTCCAAAAGACCTATTTCAAAGGACCAAACATGCATATGTATGCAAATGCAACCTAAAACTACTATGAATGCATAAGAAGAGAAAAGGAACAAGATATGATGCTAATGGATGCTAAAACTATGCAAAAGATGCATAAAAGATGTACTAAAACTATGCAAAATGCAAGTACATCAATACATCAACAAACCTCCCACCAACTTGACCTTTGCTTGCCCTTGTAAGAGTTGTTGGAGCATTTCCTTCATATCCCAATCTTGACTTGGTTGGGTATGATTAGACCTTTAGATGAAGCCTGGTGGGACACTAGGTTGTTGTTGCGGCAAGGTGGTTGGATAGCTAGTGTATGTCCCTTGTTGGCCATAGTTGACTTGATGTCCTTGCTGAGGATTCCTATAGCCTCCTTGTCTATTTTGAATATAGCAAACCTCATGTTGGGTCTCCTCCCCTTCCTGATCCTTAACTAGAGTTTTTCCAGAGACAGAATTGACATGCTTAGCAGGGAATTGAGCCAGGATCAGTTTGTCCAACTTTGAATTGAGTGCAAGCATGTCTTTTCTCATCTGTGCTTCCAGCTCGATCGAGTGCGCGGTCGAGCTCCAGTCTGTACTGTCATAATGCTCTCCATAGCATTCAGTTGAAATGGCCATGTTT